GATGACAAAGGGTGATCTAAACACAAATGGTGACCTGTCAAGCAGTGGTATGTTTCTGAGTTTCACTTGCTAAACCCATACTTTTCAAAGTTTTCTAAAAGTATGGCAATGGTTTTTTTTCCTGAGCACCATGTCAATGTGGCAAAGGTCTTCAAATTCATAAAGGCACTGCTAGTAAGTGAAGGTTGTGTGTTACGTATGCACATATATACACCTCACCTGCATAGAGGTGATGGGCTATTTCTTGCTGTCTCTCAGCCTGCGGGGATCAGTGCAGTGCAATGAAACTACAAGCACATGCTGCTTTTTAAGGCAGAAAGAGACTTTGAAACTAAAATACAACAAACACAGACATTCTTGAGTCCTAGGACCCATTAGTCCACCCATGAAAACCTTATCTTATTCACATGCAAATGAAGCACTCAACTGCACCTGGGCTGGCCAGATAGCCAGAATGCATTAATACAAAGTTACATACAAATGGTCCATCTTCCAACTCCCCAACCCCACATTTCTGTTTACATTTTTAAAATATACAGATTAAGTTCATTCCAGTGTGATGGTGGAAACTGAAAACAGGTAATCAAATATAAGTTGCAATACTTTGTTTACTGTGAGGGCTTAAAAAATAAAATCTAGCACCCTGGCTAGTTTGGCTTAGTGGTTAGAGTCGGCCCTCAGACCAAAGAGTCATGGGTTCGATTCCAGTAAAGGGCACCTACTTCAGTGGCTGTTTGTCCCCAACCCTGGTCGGGATCATGCAGGAGGCAGCCAGTCGATGTGTCTCTCTCACATCAATGTTTCTCTCTCTCTCCCCCTCCCACTCTATGTGAAGATATTTGAAAAAATATCCCTGGGTGGGGATCAAAATATATTACACACACACACACACACACACACACACACACTCCAGCAAAGTTATGCAGTCAGACCATGATCATGGCCTCATATTCTGCATGACAGAATGTCCTTGCCACCATTCCCCACACCTCCCACCAAGCCCAGGTACTGTAGAAGAAGGGAGTGAGATATAGGGCTGAAATTAGGGCTTGAAGTCGGTATAAAAAGCAACTGGACCCCAGGTCCTCTCCCCACCTTCCAGGAAGACAGCTCACCCAGCCCCAAACTCCACACAGGAGTAACAACCTGAGGGTCACCAACCAGACAGGAAGACTGGGGCAGGGCCTGGGGAGGCTGAAAGTAGAGGGATTAAGTAAAAGTCACCATACGTACTGTGGGTCCTCAGCCCTCTTCTCCTACCCTGCTGCCAGAACCCATTAGTCCTTTCTAGAGAAATTAAATGTCTCCAAAGAAAAGACTTCCACTGGAAATTAGGAGACTCCAACAAAAAAGCCAACTCTGCCTGATGGCCCTTCAGATAACTGATAAACCCAGCCCACGTATAAAGACCTATGAAATTAGCTTTTTAGTACCTGATCCAAAATAGAATGGATGACCTCTCCAATTTTCTATGGAAGCCTTCAGAATAAAAGATAGTCCACAACAAATCAACAGCAAATGAACAAGAAAGAGAAACAATGTAACAAACAGAAAAGACATGAGGAAAAACAAACAAACAAAAAAACATAATTATCCTCAGGGATATGGAGAAGACATTGAATCTATAAAATAAGAGGGTATTATGAAAAAGAACAGATAAAAAAGATATTTTAGAAATTAAAACATATAGCTTTAAACTTCTTTTAACAAAAGAGCTGGAGGATAACAAATAAACAATACAACGTCAGGAGCAACTGGAAAGATTTTTAAAATTAGAAGATCAATCAATGTTCAAATAACAAGAATTCTAGAAAAATAGGATGCAGAAAATGAAAGAGAGAAAATTATCAAAAAGAAAACAAAAATTTCCCAGAATTGAAGACAAGTCTACAATTGACAGACTCCATCTAGTCAAGTACCCATCAACATGAATGAAATGAATGAATGAATGAATGAATGAATGAATGAATGCGTGAATAAATGAAGACCCACACATCATCCTGAAATGTCAGGGGTAAAAGAAAGCTCCTAAAAGCTTCCAGAGTGTAAAAACAGGTTCCGTGCCAAAGAATGGTACTAGAATTTTCACAGAATTAACAAATGCTGTAAGAAAATGAAGCACTGCCTTTAAAATTGTTAGGGAAAATTACTTTCAACCAATCAAGAGACATATTCAGAACTATAAAGATCTCAAAATGTTTACTTCTTATGCACCTTTTCCTGGAAAAGTTTTTGGTAGTGGATACACTTTAGGGAAAAAAGAGGGGTGGGAAACAGTAAATCGAGAAAGAGGATGTCACAGGATCCAATAAACAGATCCAACAGAGACTGAAAAGAAAGCAGGTCCCAGAATGACCACTGAGCTGTGCACAGGCCTGAAGAGCAGTGGTCCAGATGGTGGAAGATAAAGGACTGTGGAAGAAATGTCCCCAAAGGGAAAAAATATTTTTTAAAGGAGTGGCTAGATTATCTATGTTTTTGAACATGTAAGCCTTTAAGTGACAGGTGCATTAAAAAAACTAAGCAAATTTTTCCCTGGCTGGGTGGTTCAGTTTGTTGGAGTATCAGCCCCTACACCAAAAGATCAGGTTCAATTCCGGTTGGTCAGGGTGCATAGAGGAGGCAACCAATCAATGTTTGTTTGTTTGTTTCTATCTCTTCTCTCTCTCTCTCTCTCTCTCTCTCTCTCTCTCTCTCTCTCTCTCTCTCTCTCTCTCTCCTTTCTCCCTCCTCCCCTCTTCCTCTCTCTCTAAAATCAATTTTTAAAAAAATCCTCCCGTGAGGACTTTTTTAAAAAACTAAGCAATTTTAAAATCAGGCAAATATTAATTCTGGGAAAAATAAGATTCCAGTAGAAAGAAAGAAAATGATAGTTCACCATTGGATTCATCAGTGAACAACATTTATTATCTACTGATTTAACAAGCTGTGATTAATCTATACTGAAAGGGATGGGGAAGGTAGAGATATAAGAAAAGTAAATCCTGCTTACCATAAAAGAAATTTAAGAATCATTTTTGAATTTATAAATCAAGAAAAAGTTATATTACCATTTTCAAATAGGAAGGTAAATACAGAACACACCACTAGAGTTGATGGTGCTTGTCTCCAGGGCACTAAACTCAAGAAAGGAAGCTAGCTACTCCTTTTCATGATCAGCCTTCTAGTTTATTTGATTTTTTTAAAAATTATATGCATGAATTACTTTAGGGAAAAAAAGAATGTTAAATTTAAAAGAAGAAAATAATTTAAACTTACAAATTCTTTATGAATTCAAAGAAAGGAACTGGAAAGACATGAAAAGGAGCCCATCAACCAGCTAGTTTACTGACCCGCCAGGGCTGTTGAAGGAGACGGTGAGCTCCAGCAGCCTGGGCAGGTGCACTGCTTGGATGCACTTCCTCTTCACCAAGTGGCAATAGCAAGGCTCAAAGGCAGACCCAGAGGTACTTTGTTTAATACAATTAGTAAAGAATTGGTAGCATCCAAAGTAATATTGTAATATATATGGAATTGGCATAAAAAATAGTATAATAAAAACACACTACAAGAATACATTTCCTGAGATTGTGTGATGATTGTTAAACACTAAATGTAATAACGCATAGTAAAAAACCACAATTCAGGGTCAAAGTTTCCATGGACACTGTGGAAATGAACATACTTTCTCTCTTGCCTCTGAATTTAAGTTTAAGCAATAGTATCCACTTCTGGACTTGTCCTGATTGAAGATAACACACAACAGTTCAATGTGATACAACAAAGTTCAAATTTGGTCCATTACGAAGTAATTCCTACGAAAGTTGCTTTAATCACAGAGATCTGTGAGTTTCACAGAACAGAAACCAGGTACTTGAAAAGCAAGTACTCGTTTTGCTTAGGTCACTGATACACCAAGAGACTCCAAATTTCTCAACAATCCCATGGCCTAGACAAAGCAAAATAGGAACAACCAATATTTATACACTATTTTTAAAAAATCCCAACAAGCTAAAATCCTTACAGAATTGTTCTTATATGCTTCATCTTTTTCTTCAAATTCAGAAAAGCCAAGCACACTTGAAAATACACAGAGCTCCTAAAAATGCAAGGTTCCCTGAAGCATTATAGACTGCTTCATGCTACCCATTCATTAATCAGAACTTAGATGTAATGTAAGATACACTTATATGTCCTCCAAAAATGACTTCACAAATACTGGTCCTAAGAGAAAAAAAAGTAGCTACAAGTCACAAAAGCCATACTCAGGAATAGAGCAAACCTGTTCAAAGCACCCATTTCAAGAAGGAAAAAGTGATATGTACCAGAAATGACTGCATTTTATTTTATTTTTTAATATTTACAAAAAATTGTTCAGGAACTCACCTTTTTGGATAAAGTAATAGAAAGTAGATTTATTTTCTAGGAGTTCAGAACTTTGTTATAGCATTTTCATTATAAACCTATTGGTTCAAAAACAGAACTACCAGAAAAACTCCCTATCAGTAGCACCTTGAACTTCATGGTCTTATCAATATGCAAGACAAGAAAAGAATAAAAAAATCTGATTATTTGGTCAACATGAAAACTTACTACATTATCAAACTTTTTTTCTCAAATTAGACATATGAAGTATAACATATGAGCAGAAAATGATTCCACTGAATACAGTCTAATGACCTGAGTGCTATTTAAAATAAATACTTTAAGTAGCATACAGTTTATCTAAATGCATATTAATTATTATAGATTGCATATGTCCATTTTAAACTTAAGGGAGAAAGCCTACAATTACAGATTTATTTAAATAAAGTAAATACTAAATACTGACTCAAAAATTTCTCACATAAACTTACAAGAGAGTTTTAAAGTGAAATAGGCCGCACTATTCTAAGCTCCTAGGCAACAAAACTAAAAATATGCCTCATTTGTGTTTTTACTATGAGATTTGAATAGACAAACAAAATCAAAGCAATAACGAACACTATTAAAACTTGATAAAAATTAGACAATATCAACAGATGTAAAAAAAAATACAATGTATTATGTGATGACTTTGAATGCAAAAACCACATATTTATTAAACACATGATTAACTTAAAAACACCAAACCAGTTTGTTTTAAAGTGCTCCTCATTCAAGACCCTGGACAAAACTATCACTCCAAAGTGAATTTAAAAAAACAGTTCACAAGGCAAACACTGACAATAGATATGGACAGGAACTACCAAAACTGCTGTTTGTTCTTTAATTAAATAATGCCATTCTCAAGTGATGTAGAGCAGTCACCTTAACAAAATTCCTTTTTGTATAAATATGCATAAATTAAAAAATATCTCTAGATATTCTAAAGAGCTGCAAACATTTATATCTTAAAACGGCAGCTTAATGTCTACTTTAAGAAAAAAGCACTAAACTCCTCTTCCATTGAAAGTCGTTTATTTCTCTGGTGAAAGTGAACAAGGTCACTACAACATTAACCTCTTTTCCCGAACAGTGTAAATAACAATGTGTACACATCTTAAATTTGGTAGGTCATTTTTGATGCAACAGAAAAATAAATAAATAAAAATTAAATACTTTAACCCAACATTTGGTATTTTCAAATCAGTAGTGTCAGCTTCACATATGAAGGACAGCACAGTCTGGTTTGTAAAAACCCTCAATGTGATGGTATTTGGGATAAAAATATTTCGACTATTAAATGTTTCCTTTTTGCTTAAAGGAATGTAGTACAATCACCATCAAGCTCCTATGGTAACTCAGTTTCATCTTGGGTAAAGTGACCATTTGGTCCATGGCACAAGTTACATATGTCACACTTCTGTACAACTGAAATCTTACGTTTATAAGATTTCATGTTTATAAGCTACAATACACTGACTAAGCCGTCAGTCCCTCACAGTTTTTTAGAAAAATATCTACATTTGTCCTCATGGATGTCAAAATGTTACACCATCATTTGTTTAAAAAGAAAAGAAGATGCACATTCATACTGTGAAGTTATTAGGAAAATACTCTTGCAAATAAACTATATAAAGATAAAATACACTTCAAAGGTATGTGGGTTTTTTGTTTGTTTTACAATATTCTATAAAGTGCAGAGAAATCCTAAGGGAAAAACTACTCCCTATAACATAGTTTAATTACAGCAGCTTTTGCATAGCAATACTTAGAGGAAGTTGGACACTTCTGTTTCCTCAGGAAGAGAAGGACGAAATAGGATCTTCCAATTCAGATTTTTTTTTGGCCAAAAGTCTGCTTTCTTCAGGAATGGTTGCTGATGCTAAATCTCCATTAAGTGTATTTCTTGAATAGAGAACAGGCCCTATTAAGAAATTTATTAAAAGGTTAAACATTCTATTAATATTAACTCCAAACCTCTGTGAAGAACATTGTAAGTTTTCTATTCAGAGACATGAATTCCCTTAGCTTCCTGGGTTTGTTTTTTTTATATTGTTTAATAAAGAAATAACTAATTTTTCTACTATTGGCAGTCATAAGAAGAAACTTCAGAGTTCATGAGGTATGGAACTACCTGAAGTAGAGATATTTATTTTGTTCATTGCTAGAACCATGGTTGGCACATAATGGGCAGTAATAAATATTTGCTGAATTGAATTAATCTTTCTTAATTAACTATGGCTCTTTCAGCCTGATAGTTTTAATACTGTTAGTAACCTCCTTGCTCTTAGGTAAAAATTCCAAGATCCAAATAAGGTCACTTGCCTAACGCAAGATCACACAATTGGTAACAGAAATAGGACTAATTCAGGTCTCGCTTTTTCATCACTAGACTTTCTGTATAAAACTGACTAGGGATCTCAACACTGAAACTTCCACATTTCCATTTAGAATGCAACTCATGAAACTATCACTGTAGCTACAAGGGACGAGCTTAACACATCAGCATGGTCTGGTTCCAAGGCAGCTGCACTTTTTATAGGTACATATTGTTTGAATTTAACATAAGTATTTATTACTTTTTTTTTTTAATATAGTTAATAAAAAACAGGAGCAGTTGCATCTCTCAAAAAAAAGAATATTTTAGTATAAAGATTTTTAACTAAGACTGCCAACTGCAAAACATGTACTTTCTAAGAAAGAGCACTAATTTCAGTCTCTGCTTTGTCAACTGAGGATAAACTTCAGGATAAACAGAAGGAAATCTCAGAATAAAACTTCTGACCTAGCCTACAGTTACCAATTTTATAAAGTTCTGGAGAATTGAGATATATGTATGTATATGAATATGTGTGTGTGTGTGCCTGCATGTGTGACTAGTTTTATTACACTCTTTAACAATTAAATTGGGGAAAGCTAAATGGAATAAGGCTTTACACTTGGATATTATATGAAAATTCTCTTCAAATATTCAAGAACAGCCCTGGCCACTGTGGCTTACTTAGTTGAGCATTGCCCTGTGCACCAGGGGGTCACTGGGTCGATTCCCAGTGGGGGCACATACCCAGGATTTGGGTTCCGTCCCCAGTCGGGGTGCATGTGGAAGGCAGCTGATCAACATTTCCTCTTACATCAATGTTTTTCTCTCTCTTTCTCTCCCTTCCTCTAAAATCAATAAAATCAAATTTTGAAAAAATTCAAGACCACAGTGCCTAAAACAGAAGAGAGCTAAGAAAAATAGCTAGCTTTAAAAAAATTAATTTAGCTATCACAAATAAAATTTTCCCTTAAAGAACAAAAGAAGTAGCATCTAGAGAAAAGTACAAGGCAGCATATAGAACTTTTTCATGAGGTCTGGATTAAAAGTGTCATGTACAGAAGGCAGAAAAGAACAAAGCACATCAGAATACATACCACCTGCCTCAAGTAACATTCTTTTCCCCATACGCATCTCTTCAACTCTCTTTCTCTTTTCCTTACCTCCTCCAAGTTGTACTGAATTGGCCAACGAAAGTTTCTTTCTCCCTTCCCCTTATCACCCTCACCCCTTTCCTGTCTTCTTTTCTTTACCCTCTCTCCCAACTTAAATTCAAATGGTAATGAGCACAGAGTAGTGTGCTATATCAATAAGTAGATTGTTAATTCTGTAATAGAAATGGGCATAAAAGAGATCATCGACTTCTAAAGATCTAAAAATGGCCAGCAGTCCCTTTTAGAATCTCCATCGTCTTCTTGCACTCTACATTCTCCTCTAAATAAACATATTTTACCTGGTTAAGTAAAACAACTCTATCTTAATCAATGTTTTCAATACAGTCGAATAATAGAAATCCAATAGCATTTGTCTTGTCCTGTTTTAGCCATACTATGAATTAACTGGGCTCTTCCAGGCAATCTACAAATTCGAACTGCCATTTGTCATGTCATTTCAATAAAGGAAATAAAATGTGGTCCACACAAGTGACTGATAAACTCTTGGAACACAATTTGTTACATAATTGAGAATTGCATGTAATTTTTATCCCACACACTTCACAGGCAATAGTAAAGTGTTTTTTTTTTTAATCCTCACCCAAGGGCATGCTTAGAGAGAGGAAGGGAGGAAGGGAGAAAAAGAGAGAGAGAAAGAAATATACTGATGGGTTGCCTTCCATATGTGTCCCAACCAGGAGTCGAACTTGTAACTGAGGTATGCTCCCTGACTGGGAATCAAACCAGCAACCTTTCGGTGCACAGAACAACACTCAACCGAATGAGCCACTTTGGAAAGTAAAAGCCTGTTAATGGTAATAATAAGACCATACTTCCTCTCTCTATAAAAAAAATCAATAATATTATTATTTTTTTAAATCATGTACTACTTACTGTTCAGTGGAAATCATATTCAATAGATAGTCTGACATACTTTTAAAGCTTTTTCTCTGAACAGAAAAATAATTAAAATTTAACATAAATCAAAAAATTTTGTACCAGTTGGTGTGGCTCAGTGGACTGAGTGTTCTCCCATTTACATGGGACGCTCAATTCCCAGTCGGGGCACGTGACCAGGTTGCAGGCTCAATCCCCAATAGGGGACATGCAGGAGGCAGCCAATCAATGTTTCTCACATTGATGTTTCTATCTTTCTCTCCCTTCCTCTCTCTATAAAAAAAATCAATAAAATTATTATTTTTTTCAATCACAAACTCTTTCCTCAAGTATTCAACCACAGTATGCTGCCTCTTTAAATAATAAGGGATAAAAAGGAATAAATTATACTATAATTCACCACAAACACCAGAAAAAAATTATTTTCCTAGGCCATTTCAAATTATTTAAGTAACAATGCTGATTTTTTTCTTTGAACTTAGAACTTGTCTGTATTTTTTTTATTTTCTTATTTTTTTCTTAAAACTCTGCACTTGCCCTAAATCCTGCCCACAATTTATTCTTTTTCTTCTAAAATATTTTTAAATGTAAATGTAGTGGGAATAGAAAATTACTAAGTGATTACTAAAATGTAGTGGGAGTAAAAGATTTTGGTATACTATATAAATCTAAGATAAGGTATTTGCAAAGAGATACACAGCACTTCTTAGTTAATAACAAAGGTGTTTGTAAGAGGATATACGAACTTCTGTTGATCATGTACTACTGTTTGCTTAGCTCTGAATTAAGGAATTAATCCAGGAGCCCAAGTACAGGGTTCACTTGTCACTATTCTTTGTTTCAACTATTACAAAGCCACACAATAATTTTTGCTGAATAGACCCCACCTAACTTACTATCTGGGTCTTCAAGAGGAATATCATTACAAGAGTCTGTATCTGAGTAGGTTCTTCGGCGTCGCTGGGAGAGCCGGTGAAATGTAGACACTGGTTCTTTTATAGAGTGGCTACTCCTGCAAATTAAATAAAAGGCATTAAACTGTAAGGCCTTAAACAAACAAAAACACCCTCAACTTATCTGGAGTTTTAAATGACTTAACTTTAAATGAAAAAGGAACTATTTTTATGCCCAAAGTTCTATTTTAGTAAATTCTACTTGTTCAGAGGCGAGGCTACAAGTCAGTCAAATCATTTGAAATCTAGCTGGTAACCTGGAGAATATGACCTCTGAGCCAAACTAAATGAAAAAGGGGTACAATGAAAGTGATTTTTTTACAGAGGAAGATCCAGCTACACGAATGGTTAGCAAATGCTTGAAAACTAAAAGTTATGATTTCACAAAAGCACAGATCTAGTGTCAATATACATCTGATTAGAAACAGCAAAGTGAAGGGAGTAGGCAGGTCGTTTGGGAGCATATACAGGTCAACTCACTGACAGCAGCAAGACAGAGATGGCAAACGAAAGCTAATAAAACTATTTAAAGAAAAAAGTCTAGACAATAATTTAAAAAAAAAAAAAACTAGAACTATCAATCTAAAAAAAATTCAAAACAGAAACAAATCACCACCACTCAATAGCATCTTGGTTCTGACATATGAAAGCCCAACGTTACTATTCTTAATGACAACCTTGATTCATCAAGAAAAAAAAGGTTCTCTCTTATTTAATAAAGTAAAAAGGATAAAATACAGTTCAAAAAATTTTCTATCGTAAATATGAAATTTTGTCAAAGGAATCAAGCTTCCATTTCTCTGGAAAATTCAGTTGGTGAAACTCTTCATTCCCTGATAGGATTGGATAAATACAGTACATCACTGACCTTCTCTGAGCACATGATAGTTTGATCAAAGATTACATAATCATTAGAGAAAGGGAGAAAAGTGACAAAACAATAATAAGGGCTCTGTTAGCACTTATTCTTAATGTAGAGAAATAAATGCTAATATCACTATAATTTCATCACTTTCCAATGAACCAAATAAGACAACCATAGCAATTTAAAAGAATATCACCTACCAAGATAAATAATCTAATAGTTTGAGATATTGGCAAGATCAAGAGGTAAATTTTTTAAATGTGTTGATATGAATACATACTTTAAAATATCGATTGGTTTTTCTCTCTTTTCAGTAAGATCTTTATCTCCTAATAAAATAACAGCTCAGTATGAATATACGATGCAATAAAAAGCAGTAGCAGCCCAGCTGGTATGGCTCAGTGTCATCCCATGGACTTAAGAGGTCCCAGGTGGATACCACGTCAGGGCACATGCCCAGGTTTCGGGCTCTATCCCCAGCAGGGGGCATGTAGAGGGCAGCCAACAGATGTTGATGTCTCTACCTCATCAATGTTTCTATATCTTGCTCCCTCTCCCTTCCTCTTTCTCTAAACAAATCAATATTTTTTACAAATCAATATTTTAACAAAACATTTTTTTTTTAAATAGCAGTAGCAAAATGAGCCTAAATTTTGGACCCTTGATCCATCAAAAATGAATTTCTATAAATCATCATCATTTGATATAATTCCAAACATCTAAAAAAGGTACAAGAACTGGCAAGGTGCTTATCTTGCTGGTTAATTTATTCCCTCATTTTTTTTCTTTACTGACTACCTACTGGGACCAGGCCCTATATTAAGAGATAAAAATGCTGAGCAAATCAGAACAAGACTCTGCCTATACAGAATTTACATTCCACACCACTTTATGTTAAAGGTTCAAAGAATTAGAGAGAACTTCATAAAAAAAAAAGGTTATTTTACCTTTCTGAACTGCAAGAACCAGGGTGACTGACAGAACGCTTCATCTAGAAATTTAAAAAAAAGAAAAAAATGAGCATAATCCATTATTAGTTGAGTAGAATAAAACAGCTTTAATAATTTATCATCTTTATTCAGATAAAAGGATGGCTGGTCAAAGAAATTATTTTTTACATACTCAAGTAACATTATTAACACAATGTCAATCTTTCTCCCTAATAACCATTAATGGAAATCTTTCTCAACACATGCCAGATTCTTTTCTCAATACTAAAAACCAAATTTTATATTTTATATCATATATGTGTGTGTATGTATATAAATATAAAAAACAATATACTTAACTAGTCCCCTCCAAAAAAATCAGTTATTTTTTTGACAAAAAAGTATATCCAGTAAACCAGAAAATATTCTAATAAACCTCTCTCTATATTTTTTAAAGGGCAGAACAGAGCCCAAACAGTGTGGCTCAGTGGACTGAGCATAGTCCCATGGACTAAGAGGACCCGGTTCAATTCTGGGTCAGGGCATATGGTTGGGTTGTGGGCTCTATCTCCATTAGGGGGCGTACAGGAGGCAGCCAGTTGATGTTTCTCACATCAATGTCTCTATCTCCCTCTCCCTTACTCTCTCTAAAAAAATCAATAAACATATATTTAAAAGGGGAGGGGGGCAGGAATAGAGTTGAGGAGCAAAGCTTTTCTTTACCATTCATTTTTCAAGTAGCTGTTACACAGATGCTCTAAAGTGTGGTTTTCATGGAAGATGGCATTAATAATTCAAGTATTTAAAGAATTCAAAAGAATCCTAAACCTCACATAGGTTTCTAAAATATATATTTAAAATATAAATAAAATTTGATTAAGCAGAGCATTAATAAATATGACATTTATTAATTAATAAACCTAATTTAGAAGGTTCAACTAATCCACCAAAAAAATAGAAAGAGGCAGTCAGGTAAAACAGATTATTTCAAGTTTAACAAGGTAGCAAAAGAAGGAAGTTTATATTAAAGAAAGGCTAAGAATGATTGCTTTTATATACAGGGCTCAAGAGTCTTACAGTTCCAATCTAAGTCTAACATGTATGTTACAGAAATAAACACCTTCTGCATATGTCACATGAGCCACCAGTTGCTCTGAGAACTCCCAGTTGAAGTGATAACAGTTATGACTCATCCAATTTGTAGTCCAGAGATATCTAATCTGATTGACATTAAGATGCCACTGCACATTACTATCTCCTTTAACAGAAATCACTTCCTTTAGGATCACTCACTCAACGACATCCCCACTATAATTATCACTTAATCTGTGGATCAAAATGACCACTGTTTGAACTTCTATGACCATTTGAAATATAACTGAATGCAAGTTAATTTTAAGAGGGAAACAATGAAAAGAACTACACAAAATGGTTATAACTCTCAGGTTATCTTGGACTTCTCAAATGTTTCAGCTCTATATTTTATTTACTTGTGTTATTTTTTTAAAAAGAGGATTTTCTCATGAAGACTGTCTGATCTTACTTTCTGTGCTGTCTCCAGAACTAATTACCATAAGCTACAATTTGTGCTTTATGCACACAGGAAAATGGCATAGCAAGAAAAAATAAGCAGCCTCTAACCAGATATCCTGTAATGCTTCTATTGATAAAAGGTTTTGGTTTAAAAGAGACAGTTATTAGAATTCCTTATACATAAATACTTATAGGAACCCTCTGGAGTACAGAACATTTGCAACAGAAGGTATTTTTCTCACAAGTTCAATATAAAAACAAGGCAGGTTTGAGGTATATTTATTGTATTTGCCTCTATAAAGTACACCTTAAAAAAAACAAAACAGTGGACCCCTTTTACATCAATCTCAGGAACAAAGCACCATATATCACCTCAAAAGATCATATTTTTTGTTCAGCTGTATGTATTATATAGCATTTCACAATATATCTACAATTGTTCTAAAAGCAACACGGTCAAACTGTGTTCTACAGAATACTACAGTCCTGTGAGATGTTATTCGACAATAAACAAAAGGTGTATAATTGTCAAACAAATTTCAGAAACACTACATACCACTTCTCCTTCTGAGATTCATAATACACTATAGCATAAAAGATGTATGACAGAGATAACAGAGAAACCGAATTTGTTTTAAGTTAACCAAGTACATCTCAAACTGATCTAGTCATAAAGCTCATTTTCATGGTACACCTATCTCACAAGGCATACATTAATTAAAAAATAATGATCTAGCCCTGGCCGGTTTGGCTCAGCAGTTAGAGCATTGGCCTGCAGTCCAGAGAGACCCGGGTTCGCTTCCCACTAAGGGCATGTACTTCAGTTGCAGTTTGTCCCTGGCCTTGGTAGGGTCGTGTGGGTGGCAAACACTCGATGTGTCCCTTTCATGTCGATGTTTCTCTCTCTCTCTCTTCCTCTCTCTCCCACCCACTCTATTTGAACAAAAAATGGGAAAATGTCCTTGGGTGAGGATAAAAAAGAAGAAGAAGAAGAAGAAGAAGAAAAATAATGATCTCGCCCTGGCCAGTTTGGCTCAGCGGTTAGAGCGTCGGCCTGTGGTCCGGAGAGACCCGGGTTCGGTTCCCGCTAAGGGCACGTACTTCGGTTGCAGCTTGTCCCCGGCCCTGGTTGGTCGTGCGGGTGGCAGCCACTCGATGTGTCCCTTCACGTCGATGTTTCTCTCTCTCTCTCCCTTCCACTCTATCTGTACAAAAAATGGAAAAATATCCTCGGGTGAGGATAAAAAAAATAAAAAATAAAAATAAAATAAAAAATGATCTAAGTAAATTTAGAAAATAATATTTACTAAATCTCTTATAACTTAATTTGCTGGGGTGAGTAATAGAACCAAGGATTAAGTTGTACCCTATTCTTTCTTCCAATAAGTAAGTCTCCAGGTAACTGCTGGAAGAGCAGCCGGGTGGCATTCTTCCCTCTATAAAAGGGGTCCTGAAAACAGTTTCATGAAAAAATACAAAGTCTCATCAAACCTTGTCTGCCCTGAGAGTTCCTTGCTAGAGCAAGATTATTAGTTCGAAAAGGACAACAAATCCACTGTCCTTTACAAAAAGAGTACTTGTTCAATGATCAGAATATAAAAAAATAACACTAAGTACCTAACATAAACAGGTCAGGTCCTCTGCAAAGAGCTCTGATGTAGAAGACACTTGATTTTATAGACACTTGAGGTCCAGAGAGATTAAGAAACTTGCCTACTCAGAGGGTTGAAAACCAAATGCAGACTACAAAATACTGTTTCCCCTATAATATGCTATTTCAAATTCCCTACAACTTCTATAAAGCTTCGCTTAATTTTATCCCCTTGTGGGTTAAACATCACCCCATTAGGTTTTTACCAAATAGAATAGTTCTCCCCAACCTTTTTTGTGTCCTAGCTCCCAAAGAGCATTATAATATTTTCCTGGCACAGTGGGCTAAATGACCTCCTCCCCTCCTCTGAGGGTAGGAGGTCATGACCTTGGCACATGCTGGAGCTTACTAGATGAAGGTTCCAACAGAGGACACAAGTACAATAAAACATACAAAAAGAAAAAACTGTTGACTATTTTCCTCCCACTGCCAAATTCCACCCTTAAAAATAAAAACAAAAACAGAACTACATGCAATATTACTAGAAGAAAAATAGTAAGTTCCAACCATTTGAACAGGAGAAGGTGACACAGGAGAAACTAAGGGATCCGGATGGGACAGCTGAAACATCTCAGGTTTAAACTTGGCATTTGCTATCTTCACACATTCCTCAAGCGTTGTGATGAATGTATTACATGTGGCACTCAGTAGGGAAGAGGCTTCATTCATGTTCTGAAAAATGACATACAGAGTTGAACAGGCTCATACACAACTATGTGAAATCATGCATTAAATCAAGTAATGACTAAGACACCTGACTAGGTTATGTTCAAATTTATTTAAAATATACTACGTTAGAAAATTAAAGCAACTCGTGAATAATAATTGTCTGTCTCTCAGGCAAACAATGTATGAAGTTAGATTCCAAGAAAAAATAAGTTTTTCATATTGAAAAACAGTGTACAGAATTTATCTTGGATAAAGCTAACCTGAATGGTAATAGTATAACTATCTGAATTCCGAAGGCAATCACAGCAGCGGAACACCTGGAGAGTTAGAGGCAGGCACAATTCATGTCTACCCCAGGCCATTCTCCCATTTCTTCCTTTGTAGAATTAAAAGTCCCAATTTTTTTTAGGACAGCAAAGTACCCTGTCCTTGGGGAATGAATACAGACTGGTTTAAGCCTGCCGTGGCTATTACATGACCCTTTGTCAAATATTCATTTTTCCTAGTTCCCATTGACCCAGACAAAAAAGATAGTAAGTCTTCTGGGAAGTTTCTGGGATTTCTGTTCCCCAACAGATGCCAAGGACAGCAAGTTGAGAAGGTTTCTTTCTACCCTGCCTACCCGGCTGCCTCCTGCTTCTGTGTGGCCTTGGCAGTCACCTTGAAGCCTCGGATATGAAGAGAAAAACCCAACACAGCAGGAATAGCAGATTAGAAAGATGGAACAGGCCTGTGTCCCTGATACTGTCCCTGAGCTGCTGGAGCAAATGTGAGGGCACCTACCTCCAGAAAGCTTGTGCTGACACAGTATGTGACCATAGGGTTTAATGTACTATAACCAAATGTGACCTACCTCACACAAAACTCCTTCCCAACAACAGAAGGTCCCGGGAGAGGTAGGAAGGTTTCTTACCCCACTTCTCCCAAGTTAGACAAAAGGGGACTGGAAACCACACTGGCCTTTCAGCCAGAGATCAACAGGGCTCACTGGTCCTACTTTATCAGACAGAGTAAGCCTAATTCATTGCTGGGTCCTACAAATCTGAGTTTTGATTCTTACATCATTGTTCTGAGAATTTTTAAAGTTATACCATAAAGCTAAGTTATCCACTCACAGTAATTATGTTATGACCTTATTACAAAAGAAAGAGAATTGGAACTGTCCAATGAATTCAAGTAGTCAGCCTGCAAAATACATCCTGGAACGCTTCTTTTCCACTCCAACCACCTGATTGCTGACTGGCTGCGAAGACAGGCCTTGATGTCTTGAGGAGTATGCTGCTTCCTGCTTTACTCTGCACTCTGCCTGCACAGACACAGTGCGGATGAGCCTACAGATTTCCACATAGTCTACAGTAGGGAGAGCTCAAAACAGCTGAAAATAACTCATTATGAAAGTGTTTCCCTGACTCCCTGGCCAGTTTGGCTCAGCAGTTAGAGCATCAGCCCATGGCCCAAATTCCTGAGTTCGATTCTGGTCAAGGGCACGTACCTCAGTTGTGGTTTGGTCCCTGGCCCTGGTAAGAGTCATGCAGGAGGCAGCTATCCATGTGTCTCTCTCAGGTCGATGTCTCTCTCTCTCTCTCTCTCTCTCTCTCTCCCCCCCCCCCTGCCTCCCCCCACCTCTCTTTCTCCCTCCCTCCCTCCCTCCCACTCTGTCTGAAAATAAATGGAAAAATATCCTGGGGTGAGGATTTTAAAAAAGAAAAGACAATGCTTCCCTGCCATCTTATGGGAAGAGCCCCACTCCTCAGTGCACTGCAAAGTGTAACCAGACATGAAAGGATCACCTCTGCTATACCTCTATGCTGGGCGAGGAACGATTCTCATCATGGTGAACAAATTCTTGAATTGTATGAACTTGCTGCATTAAAAGGTCACAGTAGAGGCGAAGTTCAGACATTTTGGTTTTCAGAGATTCACTGGTTTCACTTATTTCTGAAAGGAACATAAAAACATTCAATTACATCATTTTCATATTTTGGGAGCTAAACAACAAAACAGAATCATTAAGAGAGTAAGACAGCAGCTCTCCGTGGAGCATCCACGCCCTTCCCCACCTCCTCCTCCCCCAGGTGCTCACTCCGTCAGGAGCGCGCCCGGGCCTCCCTCTTTCGTTCCTCAAGGCACCTAGCTCTCTCCTAAGCATGAGTTTTTTAAAAAGTAAGACAATAAATATAATTCCCTGTAGTGTGAGACTTCGAAAATAGGATACAAAGGCTCTAAGGAAACACTTTCTCTTCAGATAAATGGGGAAAAAATTGGCAGCCATATGTCTAACATGAAGTTGAGGTAGACTAATTTCCAGAGACAGGGTGATGACCACTGAATGTCTTATATAAGCTATTTCCATTCCATCCCTCATCTTTCATTTGAAAAGTGCTTATAGTTCTTCTTTTGTGAACTGGCTTTTCTTGTCTTTAACTCATTTTTCCAGTTCTGATGTTTGGATTTTCTCTTAATAATATACAAATTGATAATTTATAACATTTCTTATACACTCAATGTAGCAATCTTTTCACTGTCTATATACTGCAAAATACATTTCAAGATCTGTCAGCTCTCAGTTTTATTGTATATTTTGACATACAAAACTTTTTAGTTTTTATGAAGTTAAAACTATTTTACATAAACATTCATTTATTTTCTTCTGTTCCTTTCATAGTTTCATTTTCATACTATATTATTTTCAGATTTTTTTTGGCATGTGCCCCCAGCGGGAACCGAACCTGGGACTCGCTGGTCTGCAGGCCAACGCTCCAACCGCTGAGCCAAACCAGCCAGGGCATTTTCAGAATTTTTTAAAATTAAGAGCTCTTTTGTTTAATATCTCCAGGCAGACTAAACATCCAGCTATAATCTGACATCATTTACCAATACCTTCTAAACTAGAGGTAGAAGCAGCAGAGGAAGAAGAAAAAAACAGACACAGTGAATCCTGGTGCTTCTTTACCCCTGAGCCAGTGGCACTGCTTCGAGGTGCTGGCCACAACGCCCCTCTAGCCAGAGTGGACAAAGCAGCGCTAGCTGCCCATTTACCCTAACCTCCTACCCAAATTTAGCCCATTCCTTCTTTTTAATTGTAGTAAAATATATTATTATTATTTTAACCATTTTTAAATAGTTTGCTGGCATTAATTACATTCATATTATCATACAACCATTACTCTTATCCATCTCCAGAACTTTTTCATCTTCTCCGATCAAAACTCTGTACACTAAACACTAACTCCCATCCTCTCCTCTCCTAGACCCTGGAAACAATCATCCTACTTTTTGTTTCTATTAATTTGACTACTCTAGGCACCCATATTAAGTGCAATCACACAATATTTGTCCTTGTGTGACTAGTTTATTTCACTTCGCAGAGTATCTTCAAGATTCATCCAGGCTGTAGCATGTGTCAGCATTTCCTTCCTTTTTAAGGCTGAATAATATTCCATTTTATGTATACACTGACTATGTTTATCCACTCACCTATGGACATCTGGGTTGTTTCAACCATCTGGGGCTATTGTGAGTATTCACTCCTTCTTATCCTAGACTTAGTCAAACTCTTTCCACGAGGTTCTTTCCATATATCTGAAAATTGTTTCTATCCTTAGCATACGTTTTCCCATATCTACAATTTAGTTTCTTTCACTAATTAAGATAACTTCTATTGTTTTTAATTATCAAAGTAATATAATTTTAAAAATTTTGGAAAATTAAAAATATAGAAAAGAGCCCTGGTCGGTTTGGCTCAGCGGTTAGAGCGTCGGCCTGCGGTCCTGAGAGACCCGGGTTCGGTTTCCGCTAAGGGCGCATACCTCGGTTGCAGTTTGTCCCCGGCCCTGGTCGGTTGTGCGGGTGGCAGCCACTCAATGTGTTCCTTTCACATCAATGTTTCTCTCTCTCTCTCTGTTCCTCTCTCTCCCTCCCACTCTACCTGAACAAAAAATGGAAAAATGTCCTCGGGTGAGGATAAAAAAAAAAAAAAAAAAAAAATTCATATATATATATATATATATATATATATATATATGAAAGAAAAATTGAACAACTACAATCTCACTACCAAGATATAAATACTATGGCTATTTTCACATTATATCTGCATATAACTGAATACCATAAATTATTTCCTTTGCTTTTGATTTCTATCTAGTCCTTTTAAATTGACAATATATGTACATAATAAAGTCAAAAGTTATACAGTGAAAAGTGAGTCTCCCTCACACAAATTCCCTTTCCAAAGGTAACAACTTGACCAATTCTTACATATCTTTGCTGAGCTGTCCAAATAAATGGATATATAATTTTGAATCCTGGTTTTTTAAATTATCATTTAAACTTGGGCATTTCCTCACATCATTAAAATTCCTTGTGAACATTTTACTGTCTATATAATATATCAGCCTATGTAAGCATTACAGAGTTTACTGAACCATTCCCCTGAGTTCAAACCTTTGCATTGTTTACATTTTTTTTCTATGATGAGCATCTATGTACATAAATCTTCTGCATTTCTGATTATTTCTTTGGGATAGATTACTATAAGTGAACATGAAAATTTATAAATATTCTCACTGTTACCTTTTTCTTTTTTAGTCCTAGTATCGGTCAAACAGGCTTTGGAGCTCCCCAGAGCAACCAGCCACCTCTGCCTTTCAGCTGCGTTCACTGCCTTCATGTAGAAATGCTGCTCTCCTGGAATGATTAATTCCATTCTTGTGTTGTCTGCTGAATGGACTATGATGATAAACACAAGAGAAATACAGTCATGCATTTAAGTAAGCTGGGGAGAATCAAATCATCACTCTTCCACAGAATTAGATGTTTCAGACACCTAAACCAACACAAACTATGATTTAAGATGCAGGCAGTGCTGTCCCTAAGGGGCCACCTAGTGGCAACCTCCAATCCGCCATCCTCACATTTACTCCAGCTGGCAGTGGTGCCACACGAAAGAGAAAACACCAGCAAATTAACTACTGAGAAGTGAGAACCAAGAACCTCCCTTGGGGCCAACTACACTACCTTAAATACACATACATTATTATGCTTATCACACAGTTTTTACTGAGTTCTTTGAAAGCAGAGTTTGTGCTCTGGTATTCCCCAAGCCCTGGCATATAGATGATGCACAACAAATGGTAACTATGGCCACCTTCCATTAGAACAAAAGTCTTCAATTAATGGGTGTATCACAATCACCTGGAAAGCACAAGTGTTTTGGAGACCTCCTTTTCCCTTGCATCCTCCTCCTCCTCTCCTACACAACCCCCCTTGATACTCTGTCAAAAGAGAGTACATCAAGAATTATGCTGTCAATTCTAAATATTTGTTGTAAGACTATATTTGTGTTACACTGTCATTAACCACAAGTGTTTACTCAGCTCAGAGCAGTGATGATAGAAGGGAAGATAGAGGAGGAGAAAAAAAGGAGTCTTTGCTTTCACACAGGTGATAATTTAACCAAGGAAACAAACTGACACACTTAAAATAATCAAAATACCTAAATGTTGAACCCTTTGGTACAGAGATTTCATGTGTAATTATAATGAGAGAATGGTAAGAAGAGGCAGAAAATAAAAAAAGGCTTCACGAAGAGGGATTTGATTACAGCAGGGCTGGCTTAAAACTGAAACAGAATAATTGCATGAGAAACGTTTAGATGAGGAACTAAATATAATATATACTGAGAATATCAGGAGACAGGCCTAAATGGAGTATTGTGTTGTATTACAAGGTGACGACATTCATGAATGGACAATCAATGATGGGTGCAAAAAATTTGTAGGCTGGGATAAAATTACTGAAATTCCAAAGCTCCAAGGATAATTCTTTTTTGCTAGTTGCTAATACTAGTGAAAGCACCAAAAGCTACCTTAAAAGAAAACAATGTTCTAATTTCTGATGATGTTCCTACAAAATGAAACTAAAATAAGATGACTCATTTATAAATATACCAGAATTTTATCGGTGAAGGGTTGTACCCTCTAAAGTAGTCACCTGAGAAGGCAACAAACTTAAGAATAATGCTTCCAAAACACCAATTTCTAGGAAAAATGGACAAGACCTCTATATGTAAAACTGCAAAACATTACTGAGAGAAATTAAAGCCCTAATTAAATATAGGAATATATCACGCTAATGGATCAGAAGACTCAATATTACCAAGAACAGAATCCTCCCCAAATTGATATATAGATTCAATGCAATTCCAATCAAAATTCCAACAAATATCTGTGGAAATTTATAAGCAGATTCTAAAATGTATAAGGAAATGCAAAGGGCCAATAATAGACAAGAAGCCCTGGCCGGTTTGGCTCAGTGGTTAGTGCATCGGCCTGCGGTCCGGAGAGAACCGGGTTCGGTTCCCGCTAAGGGCACATACTTCAGTTGCAGTTTGTCCCCGGCCCTGGTTGGTCGTGCGGTGGCAGCCACTCGATGTGTCCCTTTCACATCGATGTTTCTCTCTCTCTGTCTCTTCCTCTCTCTCCCTCCCACTCTATCTGTACAAAAAATGGAAAAATGTCCTCGGGTGAGGATAAAAAAATAAAAAATAATAGACAAGAAAATCCTAAAAGAGAACTAAGTTAGAAGATAGACTTTTTGATACTAAGAAGTATAAAGATAAAGAAGTTAAGGCAGTGTGATATTGGCTCAAGTAGAGAAAAACAAGCCCAGGGAACAAAAGGCTATCTAGAAAAATATCTACACATACATTGTCACTAGCTTTGTGACAAAGATGCCCCAACAGTGCAGTGGATGAAAGGTTTCTCTTTTCAATAAGTGATGCTCAGTCAACTGGATAGCCACATGAGGGCAAAAAATAATAATCTTGACCCCTACCTGAGACCATATATAAAAATAAATTTAAACCAATCACAGACCTAATATAAACCTAAATATAAAAAGTAAAACAATAAACCTTCAAGAAGGTAACAGGATTTCTTTAGTGAGACATAAAAATTTCTAATAACAAAATTGATAAACTGGATTTTATTGAAATTAAGAACTTGTGTTGATCAAAAGATACCATTAACAGTATGAAAATGCAAACTACAGAATGGGAGAATACCTTTACAATACAAAAAAATCATCCCAATTATATAGAAAACTCTTATAAATCAACATGAAAGATAGACCAATTTAGAAACTGGGCCAAAGAATTGAAAAGGGACTTCAAAAGAGGATGGTCAAATGGCTAATTATATCTGGAAAAAAAATACTCATCATTATTTATCGAAGAAATGCAAGTTAAAACCACCATGAGATGAGATTATACATAGAAATATTCAAAATCTTAGCTAATACCAAGTTTTGGTAAGGACAGAAAGCAACTGAACTCTCATACTCTGCTAGTTAAAAAATACATTGGTACAGCCCTGGCCGGTTTGGCTCAGCGGTTAGAACATCGGTCTGCGGTCCGGAGAGACCCGGGTTCGGTTCCCGCTAAGGGCATGTACCTCGGTTGCAGTTTGTCCCCGGCCCTGGTTGGTGGTGCGGGTGGCGACCACTCGATGTGTCCCTTTCACATCGATGTTTCTCTCTCTCTCTCTGTTCCTCTCTCTCCCTCCCATTCTACCTGAACAAAAAATGGGAAAATGTCCTCAGGTGAGGATGATAAAAAAAAAAAAAAAATACATTGGTACAACCACTTTGGTAAACAGTTTGGCATTATCTATGACAAAGCTTCTCTGATCAAACTTCAGTTAGTCTCCTCTGAGACCTCTGCTTGATTAGGACTTGGATTTCCATCTCTCTCTTTGTAGAGTCCAGTTTTAGCAAGACTCCTGCCAAGTCAGTTTCACCAGAATCCAGAATCCACCACTATCAACATCTGATCATCCAGGGTATCTGACCAAATTCTTCTTCCCTACCATCCCCCAGGTAATATCTGATCTCCCTGGCCTGCCTTTAACAAGAATCCTGTTAGGTCAGTTTGACCAGAATCCTCTGTATCTCTGAAGTTTCCTCTTAGTAATTTTCCATCCACCTATCCCCTCACTCTGCTCCTGGGCTATAAATTCCCACTTTTCCGTACTGTATTCGAAGTTGAGCCCAATCTCTCCCCCCTACTGCAAAACCCCATTGTTGTAGTTCCTATACCTATTACAATAGACCTGAACAAAATCTGTCTTACGGTTTTAATAAGTATGAAGAATTTTTTTAATATCTATTAAAACTGATTCGACGATTCCACTATAGTTCTAGATATATAATGAACAAAAAATGCATATATTTGTTCAACAAAAGAAATATATTAAAATGTTTTTATGGCAGCTTTATTTATTATAGTCCCAAAATGAGGGGAAAAAACATCCATCAATACTAGAATGGATAGACAAATTGTGGAATGTTCACACAATGGAAATACTACACCTCAATAAAAATGACTGAACTCTTTTCCCAAAAGTGGCCAGAGGTGACCTCTGAAAATGGTTCACTATTCACCTGACCCAGAAAACCCCACAAAATCGTGCAAGTCAAGAGGTTCAAATCTTCATGTTCACTTTAAGTACACTCGGGAAACTGCCCAGGCCATCAAAGGTATGCATATTCGAAAAGCCACCAAGTATCTGAAGGCTGTCACTTCACAGAAGCAATGTGTGCCTTTCCGTCGTTACAATGGTGGAGTTGGTAGGTGTGCCCAGGCGAAACAGTGGGGCTGGACACAGGGTCGGTGGCCCAAAAAGAGTGCTGAGTTTTTGCTGCACATGCTTAAAAATGCAGAGAGCAATGCTGAACTTAAGGGTTTAGATGTAGATTCTCTGGCTATTGAGCACATCCAGGTAAACAAAGCTCCCAAGATGCGCGGTAGAACTTACAGAGCTCCTGGGCGGATTCACTCATACATGAGCTCTCCCTGCCACATTGAGATGATCCTCACTGAGAAAGAGCAGATTGTTCCTAAACCAGAAGAGGAGGTTGCACAGAAGAAAAAGATATCCCAGAAGAAACCAAAGAAACAAAAACTTTTGGCCCAGGAGTAAATTCAGCATAAAATAAAGACTAATAAAAGAAAAAGCAGGGAAAAAAAAAAAAATGACTGAACTACTGTTACACAGAAGAACATGGATGAATTTCACAAACATAATGATGAGTGAAAATACTCATAAAAAAATACTGATTTTTTTCTATTTATAAATGTTCTAAAGCAGGTAATACTTATTTATGGTGATAAAGTCAGATTAATGGTTACCTTTTAGAGGAATTAATGGCTGAGGGGACATGATAATATCCCAGCATCTGGGATGCTGATAATATTCTAATTCGTGATCTAGGTGATGATTACACAAGTGTGTTCACTTTGCAAACATTTTTCAAACTGAGTTCAGATTTGTGCTCTTTCCTATGAGTATATTATTATTTAATAAAATGATTACTTTAAACAGAAAATAACAACAAAAATGCTGCCATGGCTTAAAAACATTTGTAATTGCCTTAGACTTTTGTCACTAACAGTCTTTTAAAATCCTCAAGGTTGGCAAATTTTGAATTTTGAATAGTTTGATTTCTGATTCTCATAAAATCTCATATGGAATTAAATCTGGGGAATAAGGGGAGCTAAAACCATCACCTTTTTTTTTTTCAATTTTTATTAATTTATTTTTGTTACAGATATTTCTCCTCCCCCCCAACCCCTCCTCCCCATCTCCCCCCACTCCTCCAGAACTGTTGTCTGTGTCCCCTGGTTATGCTTACATGCATGTAAGTATGGTTCAGACTGACAGACCTCAGAGGAGGGGGGCGGGGGGATGGATGAGATAAACCAAACCATCACTTTTTAAAAAGATAAAAACATGCTTTTAATGTGCTTTTCTTGTGTGATTTGTAAAAATAAAACAAAATTAACCCCATATATTTCAGGGACCACGCAAGTAACAATACACCAGGCCGATGTGTTCCTATCTCTTGTACAGCCACAACTCCCTGAAGGGATTAACATTCACTCCTCTGGAGCTCTAGTTCTCCCCCTTGACTCTCTTTTAAGAATGCAATACTTTTCACTATCATTTTGCCTCATCTCTCCTATCTACCTACCTCCACCCTACACACGCAACCACACATACAAATGAATCAATAGTCCATGAAACCTTCCTTCATGAAAATTACAGCACGCCTTATTGCTGCATTTCTCCCATTTTGGAAGAACACAGTATAGAAAGGGAGGTGGGAGGGTAACTTTACAGTAGAGAAACTTGACAAACACTGCCTCAGCCAGGTGGCCAAGGTTAACACTAAGAGTGACATGTCATGTGATGGTACACACTCTTGATATGATGAGAATGGCACTGTACCTCTGTGATTTTTCTCCCTAAAACCCATAACCCCAGACTCATTGTGGGGAAAACATCAGACAAATTCCAATAGAGAGGCTTTCTACGATATTTCTGACCAGTACTCCTTAATACTCTAAAGATCATCAATAACTAAAGAAGAGAAAAATATCTCTTACCCAGAAGAACTTATCTCCAATTCAGCTAAGAACCAGTTTATCACTCTGACTTCATACTTTATCAAAAATCTACAGAACTTCTTTAGAGTTCAGTTTCCAATCTTTTTTTTAATTGATTAATTTTTGTTACAGATGATTCTCCTTTTTTCCCCCACTAATTCCCCCCTCCCCCTTCCCTCCCTGCCCCTCCCCAGATTGTTGTCATGTCCACTGTTCATGCATACATGCGTATAAGTTCTGTGGTTCATCCCTCCCCCACCTCCCCACTCCTTAGGGGATTGTCAGTCTGTACCCCGCTTCCGCGTCTCTGGGGCTACCCCATTCCTCAAACTGTTATGTTCATTATATTCCACAAATCAGTGAGATCATATAATCTTTACAGTATCTTTCTACGAGAACGAAAAGAACACTTGTGGACTCAGCGTAGACACTTAAGTGGCATCCACAAGAAATGGTTTTCAAGTCCATATTGGAAGATGCACACTAGTATTTTGAAATTCAATTCAAAGTATGTTTATATAGAGAGAACTATCAAAGACTGCTTAACAATGCTAAGTGCCACTCCTGAATGCTAAGGAAATAAATGGCATTAGAAGATCCCTACTTGGTTAGAAATGCTTTTTTCCTGCTGGAAATGCTGTAGAACCCTTTACTTACCTTTACCTAACTTCAAATGTCTCTAATTCTGTATATTCACTTACCTTTAATTTCACAAACTGCCATCTTTATACTTCCTTTGCTCCCTTTGCAAACATCATCTTGTGAATCATAGTAGGACAGAATTCCATTATCTAAAACAAACCAACGAGGCTGCCAACCTAGTCATAAATAACAAAAAATTAATAAGAAATTACTTTCATCACATGGAACACAGCTCTACACATACAGGGTGCAGTATAATTGTCCCTTTTTCTAAAAGGGAACAGACTTATGATATAATGGAAAGAAACAACAGAAGACCTGAAGACCTGGATTCTAGCCCTAGCCCTACTACCATTCTTTAGTTGGATAACCTGGGACAAATCTTTTCTTTTCAATAAACATCAAAAATGCCCAGTCTCCAGAGTGGATTGAACAGGAAGACCCCTCAGGTGCCACCAACCTCTCTATTTCTACAAAATGACTGTCCCCTCTCTTATAAAATACATTTCCTAAGCAAGCTCCCTTGCACACAGTGAGTGCTGCTGGATGAATTCTAGTCTCTTACACAGAAGCTGCAGACCCTGTGCTGAGAGCATGGGTTCTCCTCTCTCCTTGCTCTGCTCCTGCACAGCTCTGGCAGAAATGCTAGAAACTGCAATCATTCATTTAATTAGTATATTTATTCAGTGACTAGAGCATACTACTATCACTAATGCAAAGCTGGGGATGAGGGTGATGGCCTTCCTCAGAGTTCAGCTCCCACTCTTGCAAGCCAAACTCAGTGTTCCCTGAAATCTTACTGAGCATGCTAATTTACAACAGTTCACTGATCAATAACACAGTGACCATGCTGGAAGGAAGCAGTGTAACTGTCCCTGTTCTTTCTGTGACTATTAAATCATAATTTGGCCTGCTCATTTTGGACAGGGCCTGCTACATAATTACTCAGTTCCATTTTTCCAGGGTCAAGTAGTACCAAGACAGTGACAGATGGAGGAAATCATTCCCACATTCTGATACAGACCCAGGATTTACCTACCCAAAAGCCTTTACCTGTAACACTTTTGAAGTGACAATGCTGAGTCATCATAAGTTAAATTTCAAAGCAGGGAATGTTATAATACAGTTCAGAGAGATGGATATCCCAAAAAAGGTTTCAGATGCTTGGAAAATTATTTTTATGAAACACTGTATTCCCTAGTGAGGCCCAGCAAATTAGAAGGTAAGTTCTTTTGGTATATGAACTTTATCGTGTTCATCACTGCATTCCCAGCACCTACCTAGAATGGTGCCTGGCACATACAAATGCAAAAAAGAAAAACTAAAAACAACAACGTACTTCTCAAGTGACTGACTGAAAAGTGAGAAACTGTATGTTATACATGTTAGCCATGACAGTATAGATATGCAGTATATCCATGAGAATATGTTGTATTGAGCATGCACAGAAATGATGAAAACATTATCTTTCCGAACACTAATTCACCTTGGCAAATTATAAACAGAGTATGTGAAAATACACTCCTCCAACCCAGGCCCATTGTGATTCTGTAAGCTTGACATATTGTGATTCAACGTCTTTAAAATAAACATTGAGAATTCACTTAGAATTTGTAGCAACTTGAAAGGGGACAATGGTTAATTAATCTAAGAGTGCTCATTATCTCTTCATACCTCTTTTTTTTTTTTTTTTTTTGGTATATGCCCCTAGCGGTAACCGAACCCAGGACTCGCTGGTCCACAGGCTGACGTTCCAACCGCTGAGCCAAACTGGCCAGGGCTCTTCATACCTTTTTGAAGAAATACTTAATAAAACAATTTCTAATTAATTCACACATTTATAAAACCGAGGGCTATGTCTGTGAAAAAGATTCACTGGTAGTCCCTCTTTTAAATTCATTTTTTTAAAAAACACATTCTTTTTATCTCAAACTACCAAATGCTACTGAAATCCTAATTCTCTCTACAAAGGATTCTCAAAGAACACTGTCATTGAACTAGAAGGTTCCTTAATGATCATTTAGTATGAACAGCTGCTCATCGTTCTGACCTAAGATGAACTAAAATTAATGATCAGCATGCCACTGAGCCAAATTTAAATTTTAAAAATGGAATTCCTCCAAACAAAAGATTTACTTTTACTAAGCTTCTACACTGCATACTAGCAGTTAATGTAAATGCTCTGCAAAGACTAAAACCTTAAACACATGTGGATAAAAGTTCAACCTACAGGTACTCAGTGCCATAGAAGATGGAAAGACAGCCAGCCACCAAGACCACATTTCAGAACAATAATAGCCAGGCTGGTGTGGCTCAGTGGTTGAGCGCTGACCCATGCACCAAGAGGTTGCCAGTTTGATTCCCGGTCAGGGCACATGCCCAGGTTGTGGGCCAAATCCCCAGTGGTGGGCATGCAGGAGGCAGCCAATGGATGTTCTCACTCATTGATGTTTCTATCTCTCTCTCCCTCTCCCTCTCTCTCTCTCTAAAATCAATACTCTCCCTCTCCCTACCTCTCTCTCTAAAACCAATAAAGAAAAAAAAAGGTTGTTTTTTTAAATGGGAATAAATTATGACATCTCAGTAATCAACCATTGCTCTGGGCAATGCATAAGTAGTTCCTCCAAAAGACCCTCCCAAGACACTGTGCTTATAAACATTTGCAATGAGATGATCATTTGCATCTCAAACCACAGAAACTACTGTATTAAAGTTAATGCAATATCTTAACAGTATGAAAATGCTTTTAAAAATATTTGACTTATTTTTAAATGTTTCCTGTTAAACATATTTATAGAAACAATTTGACATTTTAGTGGTAACAAAATAAAACATCCATCTATCATAAATGATGAAGCATTTGCTACCATAAACCTGCATTAGCATTGTAATTAATTGAAAAACGGGCAACTGTAGCTCAGTGTTTATGTGCAGATTTTGCACAATGTCAGGTGGTCACAAGTTGAGTGCACCCTACAATTACAAGGGGTTCAATACTTTTGCCAGAGTGAATACACTGGCAGCAAGTCAAGATTTGCCTGTTACACTGGACAAAAAAATCTGTTTCTATTTAATCTCATTTAAAACCAATTCCCCTTCCTCTAATTTGGTGAGATCACAGAATCCTGGACTGAAAGGCACCTTCAGGATGAACTAGTTGATCACCTGGCCTTGGACTTAGCTCGTGAGAGAATAACTTGTCCTTTCTGCTGGTTGAAGGCAGACATAGGACTAGAACTCAGATTTAAAACTCATAATAAATCAGGCTGTCGGTGTCGTAGGAAAGGGCCCTCTGTGTGGTCTCATTTCTACAGAAACACCTAACTCTCGAGTTCTTCCTTCCAACCTACTTCATGGGTGAAACTGACTTGCCTACTCCCCTTCTGTATATTGCACTTTCTTCCACTATTTCCCACTTAACCTGAAATTCCAAACATAAGGCCACCTCACTGACAACCAGCGCCTTGGAGAAGATTATCTAGGAACAGCTTCCAAAATCATGCTTGCTACGCTCAAACTTCAAGAGAACTGTCCAAATAAGCCGTGTTGCTTAGGCAATTGAAAGAAATTTAGAAACGATGTCTTAAAATTAAACCTTGATCTTAAAGGCTCCATTCCCGTCTTTGTACGCCCTGACAAGTCGATTACAAACGCCGAGCCGAGTGTGAACGAGGACAGGGATGGCAGCAGCACCTGCAGCGGCAGAACTGGTCAGGACGCGCCCGGGGGAAACGGGATCATCACCCGGGTCAGAAGGTGCGCCGAGCGGGACGGTCTCCCTGAGGCCGGGGGGCTCTCACAAGGGACACACAAAGGGCTTAAGCCCGGGAATCCACGAGCGCCGGGTCGCCGAGGGCCGCCAGGGTCAGGCGGACGCTGCGGGAGCCCGTGACCCGCCGTGTCCGCAGCCTCCCGGCCGAGCGCGCCCGAGGCCCTGCCGCCGTCCCCGCGCCCGGGCCCGCGTACCTGTGAGATAGTTGGTCCACTTGTACAGAACCCCCTCCATGCTCAGAGCCCGGCGCCGCGCATCCTCCTGGCCCGGCGCCGCCGCGGCGATGGGGTAGGCGCGGGGCCTGGCGGCGGCTCCCGGCGGCCGGACCCTCCCCGGCGGCCCCAAGCCCCTCGGCCGCGCGCCGCCCGTACGTGGCGGCCCTTAGAGGCCGGGCCGGCGGCCGCCGCGTGGACCTCGGGCGCCGCGAGCCGCGGGCTCAGACATGCCCGGGCGAGCCTCGGCGGCGGCGGCGGCGGCGGCGAAACCGTACCCGCGGCCGGCCCCCCGCTGGCGTTTCCGCGCCCCGGCTGCTCCCTCCCGCGCCCCGGCACTCCCTCCGCTTCGCCTGCCTTCCTTCCCCGCGGGCTCCCCGTGTGTTTTCATTGACCCCGACGTCGCTATCACTTCCTGGTTGAAAGGGGCCGGCAGGTCCCGGGAAACCCCTCCCCGGCGGCGCGGCTGGGGAGCGGGCGCGGCCTGCGGCTGCCCCGGGCCGCTCGCCCTCCGGCTCCGACCGAACCCCTCCTCCTGCCTCAGGCCCTCGGCTGGCTCCCCATTCGCCACCGTTCGCCCCCGCCCCCCGGGGGCCGAAGACTCCGGGCCCAGGCCCGCGGACTCGCCCCGCGCCCACCCAAGGATGAGCTCCACGCGCAGTTGTCCCGTGGGCGGTGCCTTAGGCCTCTCGGGTTTTCTGTAACTGCGCCTCAGGCTCCTTCTGGTGGTGGTGGTGTGTTTGTTTTTCAAGAAAATAAAAGACTTCCTATTTCTGTTCCTTCGCGTCCTCACAGTCAGGGGGTCGGACAGACGAGGTCTCGGGAAGGCAGTGTGCCTCTGCGAGTCCCCGGCCGGGAATAGCAGGGGCCCCAAGCTGTTGTCAGGCAACAACCTTAGACAGCCACATCTTCATTTAGAATAGAAAACATGGAATCAAACTTTGGAGTTTATCCTTAAATTGGGGGCTTTCCCCTAAGCTTTTGTGATTTTTTAAAATTCCTGTTTGGAAAAGATCATCATCTTACAGAACTGACAATGATTTGCAGATTTATGGGATTTTACAGGGTTAAAGTAAGCCAAATATAACAGGTTCAGTGCTGTGGCTCTGCCTAGCATCACTGAGGGTAGAATAACATCTGCCCTTCCAGAAGCTAATCTAGGCCTTAAGCCCTTCTGGTAAAAAGTCTTTGGGTATTCACTTGGAAATAAGGTGAATTGATGAATCGACACAGAGATGGATAGTTAGAAAGGTAATAAATCAATTATAGTTACATTTTGATAGAATTCAGGTGGTAGGGGCAAAGCCATGGGGATAGGTAGTAAAATTCCATTTTTTCTGCATGTTTGAAAGTTTTTATTCTAAAATGTTGAGGGGTAAGGCTGGCTTCCTCAAATCCCTACTGCATATTGGCTGTGAGATTAGAGCAAAAATGCCCAATACAGAAAAGACAGCAAGTCCTCCCTTTCCAGTAGTTGGATTTCTGCTTCCTGTGGTTTCAGTTACCAGAGGTCAACCACGGTCTGAACATATTAAATGGAAAATCCCAGAAATAAACAATTCATAAGTTTTCAGTTGTGCCTGTTCTGAGTAGCCTGATGAAACCCGCTGTACTACTCCATCCTGCCAAAATGTGAACGTCTCTTTGTCCAGCACATCCATGCTGTGATTCAGACAGTAAGATATTTTGAGAGAGAGAGAGAGAGAGGTCACATTCACATAACTTTTATTACAGTTTATTGTTTTGTTTTATTATTAGCTATTGTTAATCTCGTACTGTGCCTAATTTATTGAGACTGATCATAGGTTTGTATTACAGGAAAACATATTGTATGTAGGGTTCAGTCCTAGCCTGCTTTCAGGCATCCACTGGGGGTTGGAACATATCCCCTGCAGGCTAAGGGGGTACTAGAATGTTTTGGATAAAGGGGGACCACTGTACCTCATTTTCTCCTCGTGTAATGTGGATAATTACCGATCTGGAGAGTTGGTAGGAAAGCTTCACTGTCAAGAGCTTTTCCCCACCCCGCTTCCCCTGCACTTCTATAGGCCCTTAAATCAAGGGCGGCCCCCAGTGGTGGGAGAGAGTAACGCAAACCAGCGGCCGTTCAGAATCGCTGGAGTCCGCTCCTTAGTGCGAAACCTCGCACCTCTGTTTACAAGCGACCGGCTGGCTTTCAGGTTGGGTGTGGCTTAGCCTGGAACCTCTTAATGCACGGCTCCGACCCCGAGAAGGCGCTTCAAGGACACCCCAAAATACCTCCCCCGATGCCCGCTAGTTTTCTAGGGGTCTGCGGAGAAGCCTTTACGCCCAGAAATGACAACCATATTCTCTGACTACACCCCACCCTAGGCTGTTTTATTTCGTCTTTTGCTATTTTCACTTTAGGAAACGCTAGCGTTATGGTACTAAACCCCGAGGACACCGGCTGTAAAGTGGAACCAGCGAGGAGAAGCGCTGCAAGTGATCAGTGTTGCCTTAGGGACTGATGACAGCCAGCCAAAGCGCGGGGTATCAGAGGGACACCACCGCCCTGGACTGGCAGAATTCCACGGCTGAGCGTGCCGCGGGGGGGCGGGGCCCCATCCCGCCCCGCCCCGGCCTTTGTGACGTAAGATAATGCCTGCCACGCGTCGGAATTCAGCTGCCTGGGCGGCCACCGGGCGCAAGTGACACGCGGGAAGGAACGCAGTGGTCATCTGGGGCCGACTCCACGAATCATGCATTTCTTACTCAGATTAATCGTTTTCTTTTCCATGTGGGGCATTTTTACTGCTCGGGGACAAAAGGAGGAAGAACGCACAGAGGAAGTGAAAATAGAAGTTTTGCATCGTCCAGAAAACTGTTCCAAGACAAGCAAGAAGGGAGACCTGCTAAATGCCCATTATGACGGCTACTTGGCTAAAGATGGCTCGAAATTCTACTGCAGGTAGGAAATGCAGGGAACAACTCTTGCATCCAGTTGATGTGCAGAATCTAGCCTCCCTCCAGCAAGCAGAATCTTAATTGTTTGTTTGGTTGGTTGGTTCGTTCTTACTGATTTTTAACAGTAAGGAGTTGAGTCTTTAATTCCTAGGGGGGAAATAAGATTAGGTGCAGTAGTTCCCTATTAACCTGAATATTACTTTCTAAAATTAGTTAAATGTTAGGCCAAGAAATTACCAAAAATACACTATGTCCACACACATACCCGACCAGTGCCATTGCCCTTGAGACTTATAAAAGTAAGTCGAGATACTATCTGTAAGGATGTTCACACTTTTCCTTTGCTATGATTGCAGTCTCTTTACAGAGAGTTAGGGTAGTGTAAAGAATTTTATCTGGCCTTCAGAAGCACCATATTTACAGATTGGGGGCCATTTTCCAGCTGTCAAGAAGACACAACAACTTTTCCTGGTGACTTAAGAGCCCTGTGTCCTCCACCTGACCCCTCATGCCACCACTGCCTACTCCGATTTAATTGATGCTTTATTACTCAGAGGGAGAATATCTTCTTCATCTGTGCTATTACCCTATAGATAGGATTGGGGGGAAATTAGTTCTTTCCATTTAGAGGAAAATAGAGAAATTTAATGAGAAGGAAAGTTACAAATAAATTTTTTAGGCTAAACCTGCACTATCATTTTTAGAACAAATCCAGAGAGGTTAAATGTATTATTTGGACAAGTCATACAGCTAAGTAGGGGCAGGAGACCCGTTAAAAAGTGAACTGTTGAATAGTTTTTGTAAAGATGGCAAAAAGAAAATGAGATGACAAATCATACTTCATTCTGGCTATCATGAGATAAGTTTGAGCCAGAGACCCCACCCAGGGGGTTCAGAAAGAGTGCTAGTGTGGGAAAAGAGGTGGTTAGAGAGGACTCCAATTTTAATGTAACTAAATGCCCAGCTGTTTTTTTTTTAATCCTCACCTGAGGATATGTTTATTGATTTTTAGAGAGACAGGAAGGGAAAGAGAGAGGGAGACAGACATCTATCCATTTTCTCCCATATGCACCCCATCTGGGGATCAAACCTGCAACCTAGGTATGTGCCCTTACTGGAATCGAACCCCCAACTTTTTGGTGTACAGGACTACCCTCCAACCAACTGAGTCACGTGGCCAGGGTGCCCCACTGTATTTTAAAGTTTGATTTCATGTTCCTTGAAATCAGCTTACCTAAGTGTTGCTTTTTATTATAGCCGGACACAAAATGAAGGCCACCCCAAATGGTTTGTTCTTGGTGTTGGGCAAGTCATAAAAGGTCTAGACATTGCTATGATGGATATGTGCCCTGGAGAGAAGCGAAAGGTGATAATACCCCCTTCCTTTGCATATGGAAAGGAAGGCTATGGTAAGATGTTTTACTATTTTTATCTCTCTGTTATAGTTAAAAAATAAATCATAGACTTTTGTGTATATATCTAAAATAATTGAAAACAGAGTCTCAAAGAGATATTTGTACACCCATGTTCATATCAGCACTATTCACAAAAGCTAACGAGTAGAAATAACACGTGTTCATTGACAGATGAATGGAAAAACAAAAGGTGGTACTAACTTACAATGGAATATTATTCAGCCTTCAAAAGGAAGGAAATTGTGACACATGCTATAACATAGATGAACCTTGAGTACATTATGCTAAGTGAAATAAGCTAATCACACACACAAAAATACTATATGGTTTCACTTTAATTAGGTACTTAGAGTAGCCAGATTAATTGAGACAGAAATAGAAGAGTGGTTGCCAGAGTCTGGGGAGATGGTGGAATAGGGAATTGTTTAATGAGTATAAAGTTTTGATTTTGTAAGATGAAATAGTCTGGGAGCTCGGTTGCACAACAATGTGAATATACTTAACAATACTGAAGTGTACATGTAAAATGGTTATACTGGTACTTTGTATGTAACATGTATTTTCTTCCAATTAAAAAAAATGTAACCTCTAAAAAAGTTAAAATAAAATAAAAAATCATAGAGGAAATAATTACTGAACTATAAGGGTACGATAAACTTTAGCTGTATCTAATCAAATCCAGCCAGCCCCCCGTTTCTACATATAAAGAAAATAAGACATCATTGGAATATAGACCCCTGGCAGGGTTCTTCCTCCCGCATAGTGGCAGCACTCATAATGATCATGTGTAGTCTGTCAGCCCTACCTTTGTCATTTTTATTTGTTTTTAGCATACTGTTTATTTGTTTTTAACATAAGTGTATATAGCACATACCTTCAGTAAACAGTACCAAAGTCAAATTCATAAAACTCAGGAAACTAGAACTTAGGATTTTAGAGTAAAAAGACAGCACTGGAACATGGTAAAAAGAACATTTGAAATAGCTGTCAGTCACTATTACCCAAATTCAGGAGAAGGCTTTAAATGTGAAAGAACTGAACTGCTTTGTTCACTGTCTTACCTATTTCTAGATCTTAGAGATGTGAAAGCCTAGGTAAAGCAGTTAAGTAGGGAAACTGTTTGCAATACATATGAAGACTCCTAATAACAAATAATAAAAACGACCTATCCTTAGAAATAGGAAAGTTTATAAACAAGTGGCCCACTAACAAAAACAAACAAACAAAAAATACAAATGACCTTTAAATTGAATAGAATACTAAATTTTATTTATAATTAAAGAAAGAATTAAAACAAAAGCAAGACATCATTTTCAACAAAGACACTATTTATGTCTTTGCTAATCTGCAAAGACATAAGACTTGGCAAAGGTATGGAAAAACCAGTAGTCTCATGCAGAGTTGCTAGAAATGTAAATCATTCAAACTCTCTAGCCATTTCCATCAAAATTTGAAATGCATATGTCCTCTGGTTCCGTTTCCAGGAATGGGCACAGAGGTATATGTAAAAGAACATTCATTGTCTTCTCTTTGGTAGCAAAAGACTGGAAACTACATTAGTATTTATCAGTAGGAAATCAGTTAAATAATTATGGTATATCTATAAAATGGACTACTTTGTAGCCAGTAAAAAGAATGAAGTAAAGCCATATGTAGTAATAATGTTAGCAATAAAGTGGGGTAGAACATATTCATGCAATGAATATTTATTAAGCTGATGCCAGGTTTTCTTCTAAGCAGTGAGCATAAAGCAGTGTACAATGCAGAAACAATTCCCTATTCTCAATGAGCTTATATATGAGAGGGGGAATCTCTCATATGCATCATGGATCTACATAGACTCTATCTGGAAAGATACACGGTCACCCAATAGCATTAAGTAGTCCTGGGAAGGAGGCCTGAGGGTCAAGGTGAGGAAATTTCTTCTCACTCTGTAATATATTGTAGTTTGAGTTTTTCACCATGTGTGTGTATTACTTTTTCCAAGATTAAATATTTAAAAACCACTAAAATTAGAAGTGGAGCAAATAGAGAAAATTTGAAAGGGGGGAAATTGGGCAGTCTATCAGAGGAACAATTTTGATATTTCATTCTCAATTAGGCCCTTGCTTCCTATTGCTGTGTGAGGATGAGAAAGAATCTTTACCTCTTCATTCTATTTAGAGCCCTTGACAATCCCACCTCTTTGAAATATTTAGTATAGTATATAGTTAAAGTAATTAAAGCTTAATTTTCTACAGTAAGATGTCATCGACTCCCAGATATTTTGTTGAAATGTCATGCCCTCTTTGAGTATTAGTTGCCTTCACCTCTTCTTCCCAGCGAGAGCAAGGGGTCATTGCTCCAGATTAGATTTGAGGGAGGTCAGTGGTGTAAGTCAGACCCGGTCAGACTTAAAACTCAAGAGACAGTTTCAGATCACTACAGCTTCATTTTCAGTGCTTTTTACCAACCATTTGGTCCCAACAAAATAGCTCCCACTGAACCATAATTTGTGCATCCTATTTTTAGTTGTAGCGGAAGCTGGGAGAGATTTAAACAAATTGAAGGTAAATTAAAATGAATGCAACGCTTGTCCTAAGAATATTGTCATAAGTTGAAGCCAATTCTAGGTGAAATGATAACAGGCAAAGTTTCCTGTTCAGTCTCTTCAATCTCATTTTCAGAGATTCCCTTTCTAGTGTTGTCTTATCAGATGCCTCTACATTCTGACTACGACCAGAGTACCCACTCCCCTATCAACCTAGAACACCCACATCCCTCATCAATAGGTGCTCCTCCTGGGTCCCGTTACCTTAAAGCAAATGACTACTTAGTTTATCCTTTTTGTAAACTAATTTATGCTTGAATATGAATGACTATAGGCTGCCTAAACTATTAATAAAGCTAACCTTTGCTGCAGAGATGTAGAAGTTTGACTTGAAGTTGGTTCATATTCAATTTGAAGTGTCTCCAATAAACATAAAAATAATGAATCCCACTAGTAACACTACCAACATTTTCATTTTATACATAAGGAAACTAAGGCCCAAACAAAAGTGTTTTTAGAATGTAATTAACTGCTAGTTTACCTGAACTACAATAGCTTGGATTAGATTATTTTAAAGGCTACAGTGTAGACCTTAAGTAACTGCTTTTTAAAATAAATTGTTATTAAGAGCTAATGTTAGTTACAACTTCGTTTTAGGTAGTACTTGAAGAAGTCCTTCTTCTGCACAGTGTCCTTGCCTCATGTCGCAGAGCACCCCTGCATGTCTTGAAATGCATGTGACTTGTTAGTGCTTTAATTAACAGTACATGTGGTATGTACAGATTCTTTACATTAATTCCTATATCTTTATCTGCTTCTCTAAAAATTCTATACTAAACGCACATTTTTCTCTTCTTTATACTATATTTTTTGCAAGAAAAAACCTAATTGACAATATTTTCTAGTTTATAGTAGAATTGTTCAGAAACTTTGACCTCTAGCCCTGGCCAGTTTGGCTCAGCGGTTAGAGCGTCGGCCTGCGGTCCTGAGAGACCCGGGTTCGGTTCCCGCTAAGGGCACGTACCTCGGTTGCAGTTTGTCCCCGGCCCTGGTCGGTTGTGCGGGTGGCAGCCACTCGATGTGTCCCTTTCACATCGATGTTTCTCTCTCTCTCTCTGTTCCTCTCTCTTCCCCCAACTCTACCTGAACAAAAAATGGAAAAATGTCCTCAGGTGAGGAAAAAATAAATAAATAAATAAATAAATAAATAAATAAATAAAAAGAAACTTTGACCTCTAATATTTTTTCTTAAGAAATTTGAATTTATGTTTTAAATTTATTTTTAATTGTTATTTTGTTATAAAAAGATCATAACTGGACAAACTAGGAATGGGTTTTGTAAAAATGATTGTTGAATCAATCTCTAGCTCTTTACCCTTAAAATCAGGTAATATATGCTGCTTTGGTTGGGATGATCACATTAGTCATGTGATGCATGGGTAGATCCTTCTGTGTCCTGGCTTTGGAAATAACTGATCCATCTCTCTTTTTGGATGTAATTTTCAAACTCTTTTCTCTTTGGAATATGTAAATACTTTAGCAAGAATTCTCTATTTTTAATTAAAGAAATTACTATTTTCTTCAAAGAACAAAATTCACCATTTGAAAAATAAAGGATAGGTATCATTCATTCAACAAATATTTGAGTGACTGGAATCAGGCAATCTGAGAGACTCTAGGAATATACCAGTGACACAAACCACCCACTGTCTCTTAGCAAGTCATTTCTACAGGTCATTTTTATGAACTGATCATCTAAAATAGCCAACAGCTTACTAAAATCATTTGTGACATTAGTTAATAGATTAATTTTATTAAGGAGAATTATTCAACTTAATACTTAAAATTTTTTATTGTGTTTAGAAATTTCTTCATAAAAATTGTCCTAGTTTATTGTCATTGCACTTATTTTTTTAAATCGATAAAGAATCTGAAAGACAAATATATTGATATATATGTTTTATTTATGCACCCAAATAACTATACAAAATCATTCTCTAAAAATTACTGATCTATGCTTTGAGATTTTTCTGCCTGTGCATTTCTTCTCTGTACCAGCTCTTTCCTTTATAATGATGGGGTATATTAATAAGAATCATATGATTTATATGTATTTCAATTTAATTAGGAAATAATGGTCCCATAAATCCTTAGAATTGACTTGGTTTAAAAACATGAAAAAAAATTCCTAAAAAGTATTTAGAACACAATTTTTATAAATATAAAATAATATAATCATAATGCTATAATGGCTATTTGTGAATAAATATTTGAACATTATCTTCACGCAAGTTAAACTGTTAAAAAATCTATACTTTTAACAGAAGGCAAGATTCCACCTGATGCAACACTGATTTTTGAGATTGAACTTTATGCTGTGACCAAAGGACCACGGAGCATTGAAACATTTAAACAGATAGACATAGACAATGACAGACAACTCTCTAAAACCGAGGTAATCCAAACAGATTTCATGTGTACAATCTAATTTTGTTATCACAGTTTAAGTACTTCTTTGTTACACCTGTTATTTTTTCACTTCTACTTAGTGTGGGCTAATGATTTAGCTTTTAATAGAACTGATTACAAAAAAAATCTGTACTCCAGCAAGAAAATGTGCTTTTTCAGTACAAAACTTGTAATTAAGCCATTCTGTTCAATTTCTTCTCCCCCTACAAGAGGGTCATTAAAATAACCAAACTAATTTCCAAGGGGCATTTCCAGCACCTGGAGTACAGGAGCAGATATCTTTCAAGCAGTAGGAATTTCTAACAGGGCAAATAATTCCCACCTCACAGGACTGTGAGGATTACATGAGATTATGAAAAAAGCTAGCAAGAATTTAAATTGTGTAGACTGGAAAGTTAGTAAACAGAACCCAGGAGTTCAGCTACCTAGCTTCTGCATCCCAGTTAGTCTTATATATGAATTGAGTGATTAATATCTTGGAATAATAATGTTTTCATACTTTCTAGCATCAGGTATAATTATAAACCCAATAGTGTATGACCTCAATCTCCTTGACAATTTATGAGGTAGACACTATTGTCATCATCTCCATTTTATGGAAGGAGCAAATGACACCCAGACAGGTTAAGTAACTAGCTTAAGGTCACACAGCCCTAAGTGGCAAAACCAGATTGCAAACCCAGCCATCTAGCTCCAGTACTGTGCTCTTCACCATGAATCCACCCTGGCTTTTTCAGGGACTTTGCATCATGAATGTTTCAGGGCTGTTTTGCCCAGATGTTTTTCAGGTATCAGGTATTAACTACATTATCAGTAGATGCATAAGAGTGATTTTCACATGCTTGATTTTCATAATTACAATCTCTATCTTTTATTGATACCTGTCAACATGACTCTAATCTTCACACCAACCCTACAGTATAGATTCTATTTCCTTCCTTTTACAGATGACAAAACTGAGGTTTAGAGAGGTTAAATTATTTGTCTAAGATCACACAGCCGGTACATGGCAAAGCCTGGATTTCAAACATGAACTAAAATAAAGTACTTTGCTTCATTATCAGAAAGATTTAGTCAGTTATTTCTTCAGTATAAGTAAGGTGAAGAAGTAGGGGAATATAGTGTTTTTGATTAATTACGAAGTGGAAATAGTGCGGAACCCATTGCCAGCAAAATTAAAAGCATGCTCTTACCCACCGTCTTTTTGTACCTCTTCACTGCACTGTATTTAAAAAGTACATTTTGAGAAGTCAAAATGGTTAGGAAAATATATTTGTTTATTTAGAATCTGAGGAATATTTTAGGCTATTTAAATTCTTTACACCTACATAGGAATCCTAAGGCTCAATTGGAGGGAAAAAATGTATCTTCATCATATAGGACCAAAGTCCCATTTGAGAACAGCTGCTATATTCTTCATTAAGATCCATTAATCATTCTAACTAAAGTCTACTAGATAAGGATTGAGTTTGGGATATGAATTGCTAAAAATCTCTCAGGGTTCACCTTTAGACTTTATATATACTCTTGCCTCTACAATGCCCACGTTATCTCCAGATCATTGTGCTAAACGTTATCTCCAGATCATTGTGCATTGACTTCTTTAGTTATTATATATATATATATATATTAGTACTTTCTGATGGAAATATAATGAGTCATATATATAATTAAAATTTTTTTTTAGTTTTTTCTTTATTGATTTTAGAGAGAGAGGTAGGGAGAGGGAGAGAGAGATAGAAACATTGATGAGAGAGAACATTGATTGACTGCCTCCTGCATGCCTCCCACTGGGGATTGGGCCCACAACCTGGGCATGTGCCCTGACCGGGAATCGAACCAGTGACCTCTTGGTGCATGGGTTAATGCTCAGTCACTGAGCCACATCGGCCGGGCTATAATTTTAAATTTGTTAGTAGCCACATCTTAAAAAAAAAAAAAAAAAGAAACAGGTGAAATTAATTTTAATGATATGTTTTGTTTAACTCAGTATATGTAAAATATTACCATTTCAACATTAAATCAATATAAAAATTACCAACGAGATATTTTTATTGTCTTCAAAATTTTGTTGTGTATTTTACCCGTAAATAGCATATCTCAGTTTGATTTATCCACATTTCAAGTGCTTAGTAGTCACCTGTAGCTAGTAGCTGCCATATAAGACAGTGCTTATAATGTCTTTGCTTAGAGAAATGTCATATGATATAGAGAAAAGGGAATACTTCAGAATACCTCGTCTTTATTTGACATTATTATTAGAGAGGTTGTTGTAGTTCGTAGATTTGAGGAAGACTATAGAAGCATAGAAAAATTAAGAAAATTAAATTTTATTTCAAAACCTGTGGTTGGGTTTTATTGCTTATGTAACATAGTTATTAATTTTAGAGACTATAGAAACATCAATTTGTATTTTATTTACTAATGGAAATCCTTGAGCGTGAATTTCCTTGGATAATGTGGACAGTGTAGATTATCATAAAGCATTTAGTTTCAACAAAATTCAATTCAGATATTAATCTTTGAGTATGTACCACTAACCATCTATAACCTCAGGGGAAGCTAATTTAAAGATCTGTTTCTTTTCAAAAAAATTGCTTCAAAGGTTAAAAAAATAAAACCTCAAATAGCTTTTTAAAATTTTGTATGATTTATTATAAGCAGACTTACATATGAGTTTATATAAACATTTCCTGAAAGTTACTAGAAATGTATTGTGATATCTTCTTATTAATGAAATATCATTTGGGCCCTCTAGATAGATCATTACCTGAAAATGGACTTTGAAAAAGATGAGAAGCCATATGACAAGTCATATCAGAATGCAGTTTTAGAAGATATTTTTAAGAAGAATGACCATGATGGTGATGGCTTCATTTCTCCCAAGGAATACAATATATATCAACATGATGAACTATAGCATAATTTTATTTCTCAATTTTCTTAGCTACTTAACTATACTTTATATATAAAACAAAGTCACTTTCTCCAAGTTGTATTTTCTAATTTTCCCCATGAAAACTTATTTTTATCTCCTCAATACATGTAACTTTGGAATAAATGTGAGGCTATTTTGCAAATTTAATTCTGTGAACATGAGTTGCAACACCATGCAATTGACCTCTGTGTCCCATTGGACAATTTCCCCCTTCAAGATTCCCCCTTCAAGAAATGGGAGGAGCCCTGGCCGGTTTGGCTCAGCGGTTAGAGCGTCGGCCTGCGGTCCTGAGAGACCCGGGTACGGTTCCCGCTAAGGGCACGTACCTCGGTTGCAGTTTGTCCCTGGCCCTGGTCGGTTGTGCGGGTGGCAGCCACTCGATGTGTCCCTTCACATCGATGTTTCTCTCTCTCTCTGTTCCTCTCTCTCCCTCCCACTCTACTTGAACAAAAAATGGAAAAAATGTCCTCGGGTGAGGATAAAAAAAAAAAAGAAATGGGAGGACATCTATGTCAAAATCTATAAAACTCTTCCAAACTCTAACCTTAACAACATGTAGAAATATATAAATAACCATTGTTTAATGTTTTAAATGTTAAAATGCCCCATATTATTAAATTTTTCAGTAGGGGCCTGGGAATTAACATTTCAATGTTTATACATTTCATAGCATTACGGGTAGGTAGTAGTATTTAAAAATCTTAGAACTGAGGAGTCTTTTTTTTGGTATGCATGCTGGAAAATATAAGTTGTATAACTCTGTCCCCAGAGCCTCAACATGATCTTTGTACTTTTTGGTGCAAGCTTCTGGCTTCATGTATTTGTTCCAATGGCAAATGTTTCAAGATACTTGATCAGACCAAAGACTTATAGCAGGCATAATGCAGTCTGCTCTGAGTCTTGTACTCCTTCAGACATCATCATAAATGTCCTGCTCCCCTTCCTTCTCGCGTGCCTTTATATCTACCATCCCTAACTCTTTGTCTTGATTTTAAATTGATGTCATGGGATTTCTTAGTTTCCAATTCCCTTTCTCTAGGTATCTCTATCCTGTGTCACTTCATTTCACAACAGTGTTATTAATCATGAATGAACATCACAAACTGGCATACCATCAAGTTTTTAATAAATATGTAGAATTTATTTTACACATGAGAATCCATGAGAATATCAAATGAGGATATACAAATACCTCTCAGAACTAATGTTAAATGTTTTAAACATTTTCGAAGGAGAAGAGAAATAAATGTGCCATGGCAATTGTGTCATGGTCAAATCATGACATGGTACAACTTGTGGAGAGTAAGAGGTAAGAGATGCTGTGCATCAAGTTGGTGCCAAAGAAAGGGCACATATTTATTGGAAGATGTAAGGTTTTGCCTACTGCATATGTAGGAAGGTATGGTCAGGCACTGAATAGTTCTATTCAAAACAAAGCCTTTTCTATTTTCTGAAACTTGCTCTTTACAAACCATTGTTCATCTTTTAACCTCTTTAGGTATACTGCCAGAAATTCTGTTACTTAAAAATGAAGGGATAATGCAAAATCCACCCGATCAGTGGATGTCCCATAGGCATAGCACAGAGTTTGACGCTTCATATAACAAAAACTTTCACTACAGTATTTTTTTCTTTCCTCCGAATATTAAACCTTTCCTCTGCCCAATTTTATAACTTCTCCTCACTTGCTCAACCATCAACTCTTTCATCTCTTTACTTTCCTCAGAAAAACCTCAGTTGAAGTAAACTAAGTTGATAATACTATGTTTTGGTTTGGAAACTGCCCCATTTTCTTTATATAAAAAGTCACTAGACCTTCTTTTGATCTGTATACTCATATTTGCATTTGAAAAAAAATTTTTTTTCATCCTCACCCGAGGACATTTTTCCATTTTTTACTCAGATAGAGCGGGAAGGAGAGAGAGGAAGAGAGAGAAACATCGATGTGAAAGGGACACATCGAGTGGCCGCCACCCACACAACCCAACCAGGGCCGGGGACAAACTGCAGCCAAGGTACATGCCCTTAGCGGGAACTGAACCCGGGTCTCTGTGGACCGCAGGCTGATGCTCTAACCGCTGAGACAAACCGGCCAGGGCGCATTTGAATCATATACTTTACCTAAAACAAAAAACAGTGACAAGATATAAATGGAATTTATCAGATAATACAAACTATCATTCTAACCTTTCTGTCCCATTGTTTTCATACAAAGTGCTTTTAAACTTATCTTTTAAAAAATATAGATGATGTTAAATAGATATGGAGATTTGTTCTGAAACTAATCACATGAAAATGTGATCATTCTACATGCATATAGTGCACAAGCCGTTCGTATTTACACAATTATGTTTGCCTTCATGGGCATATACCTAGTAATAAGTGCTGTAATTATACACTTTGAGTTCTAGAATTTGAACATACTATTTTTGCAATTATTTTAATAAGCATATATAGTAAACAATTTAGGTTGTTTACGAAAAATTTCAGATGTCTTACAGAATAGAAGAAAAGATCTCTCAGAACTAAGTATGCTAAATGTTTGAAACACTTTCAAAGGAGAAAAGAAATGTGTCCTAACTGCCTTAACTTTAAAACGACAGCAGTGAGTTTTATAAAGCCCAAACTAGCGAGCATATGTACATTACAGAATGGCAGCCCATCACCATCAGTCACCCTGTGAACTGTGTACACAATGCCCCACACTGAGCTCAGTGTGCTTCTAACTTGATATGGCAATTAAACATTTAGGATTTCTTTAAATTATTAACACATTTTTCTCATTTTACCAGACATAGGGCAATAGTTAAAGCACCATAAAGTTGCCTCTTGTGCACTCTTTTTATCCTTAAATGTTAATTAAAAGCTGATTAAAATTAAAATGGTATTTCAAAAAATCTCTCCGTAAAAAGTTATCTAAAATGATAAACTAAGTCCCCAAAATATTTCTAACGTGACTGGCAGATTTTATGGAAGAACATCTACATTCTTAATTTTACATTTAAGCCTTTTTTCATATAAAAATATTAATCTTCAGCCCTGGCCAGTTAGGCTCAGCAGTTAGAGCATTGGCCTGCAGACCAGAGAGTCATCAATTCCGACCAAGGGCACCTTGGTTGCTGTTCAATCCCCACCCTTGGTTGGGTTTTGCAGGAGTTAATATGTCTCTCTCACATCCTTCTCTCTCTCTCTCTCTCTCTCTCTCTCTCTCTCTCTCTCTCCCTCCCTCCCTCCCTCCCTCTCTCACTGAAAATCAATGAAAAAATATCCTCTGGTGAGGATTAAAAAAGATATATATATCTATTAACCTTCATACAACTTATGAGGAGACACTATTATCACCTCCACTTTATAGATGGGGCAAACGATGCTGAGACAGGTTAATTTCTCTTTCCCTCTTTAATTTCCCACACTTCATCAAAGTGAACCTAGATGATTTTGGAAAGGTGTGTGGCATAGTTGCACCTTAAATACCAGCAAAGTACATTCATTTTTTCATTTTATTTCATTCTCTTGTGCCAAACATCAAAACAAGGAACGGCATGAAGTCTCACATACTTCTGTCCGTCAACGGAGCACTGGAAGCACCCATAAACCGTCTCCCTCTTTAAGTTCCCCATTCCACAGAGTATGCAAGGCCCTTTGGGAATGTTGTGATTAAGTAAGTTAACTCGGATATGAGTCCCTTCTTTGAGTGAAATATCAGTCATGCTGAAAGGTTTGTCATAGTAGTCAGAAAAAAGATCATCTAAGTAAAGCTGTGAGCGAGAAATGGCATCCATCACTCTTCTATCTAAAAGGACAAAAACAGAGAAATGTGTCAGAAGTCAAATTAAAAAAAACAACAACATGTAACCAAACTGCATTTATAATCACATTACTAATAGACAACCTCAGTGTTAACCCCAGAAGAAAAAATAAATACATTTGAAATACACTTCAATGGACATACTTCTTTCAAACAGTATATTCCTCAATCTGTAGAGGACTGCGAACGTTGCTGTTTCTTCTCTTTCAAATCCTCCTTTTGACACTGAAGTGACACAAATGTCTATAAAAGAAATTTAGATGTTATAACTTGAATTCATATTTTGTGGTTGATGTAGTCGTGGTTGATGAATTCTGGTACGTGACATTCACTGCATTTTTTTAAGTTAAATTCTACATAGTTTTAGAAAAGGTGACATTCGCATGGTATAACATTCAAAGAGTACGAAAAGGAGATACAGTGACAAATATGTCTCTAGTCTGCCCTGACCCCAGCCTCAGTTTTCCACCCCAGAGGTAACCACTCTTAACTTTCTTGTGTATACTTCCAGGAATGCTCCACTTATTTTACAAGCATAAAGGAATATGTATATATGTTTGTATATATGTACATAAAATTCTTTAGGCTCAAAAAGTTACACACTACACACATTTCTTTCAAATATCTCTCAGAGATTCTTTGATGTCAGGATATAGTGCTTCCGCATTCTTAGTATTTCTTTGAGTGGATGCACCATTATTTAACTAGTTGCTGATAATAGATCTTAAGGTTATTTCCAATCTTCCACTATTATGAAGTGAATATCCTTATCCCCATATCATTTCACATATGTAAGTATATCTATAGGTTAAATTCCTAAAAGTATAAGGCTAAATTATATGCATATTTTAAATTTTGATGAATATATCAGTCCTATCAGTTCATACTCCTCCTATCAATATAGTTGTAAAAACCTACACCCGAAGTGTCCCAAATAGAATTTAATTTGCATGTTTCATTTTGTTTCTGGACTCCCTATTTCCTCTCCCATAGAACTGCAGAAACAAACATAAACATTTAAAAATGTTTATAAATCACCATGGCCAGAAGGCTCACTTGCCTGGTCCTTTGGCCTATACCTAGACTTGAGCTGGCTGGCCTCCTAACCTTATAGATCTGTGAAGTGTAAAAATCTAAATGAAGTGAGCTGCACTGAGGTATTATATAAGATGACAATTTTAGGGGGAATAGTTGTACTT